AAACACAGCAGAATATGCCTTGAATGGCTCTCGGTTTTCACAAACCAACCATTACCCAATTGTATTTAATTTTTAAACAAATATTAAGAGTTGGAGTATACTGTTGGTGAAAAGGGAAGATAAATAAAAGGAATGATATAAAATTGACTGATGGCAGCAGTGAAATGTTGGAGCAGATATGCTCAGTTTGCCTAGGAAGGAGGTGACTGCTAAAGTCAAGTTCTCTGGGATTCTGGACTCAGATGTAAGAATGTGTTAAGAGTTAAAGTTAACATATATAGATTTTTTTTCTTGAAGATAGAGTATCAAGCTACATTCCTACATTCTACTCCTATTTTTGTTGTCCTCTCCATCATGGAGATGTAAGAACACACTGGACAACAACAGGGATAAGTACAAAGAAACAAATGAACACTCAAGGACTTGTGCGACCGGAGGGGACCTCAGAGATCATCGGCTCCCTTCCACAGATGGTGACCTGGGGCCAGAGCCATAACGGCATGAGGTACAAAAGTAAGAGTTAAACGAACATCTTTGACTCGAATGGAATCAGAGTCACAGAGCTCCTAGTTTAAGAGGGGTGTAGCTGGAACAGGGAGCCAAGAGTGTGACGCATACCACTGTCTCCAATGATGCATGAAGAAGAAGGAATTCAAAGGAAATAAAATGGCATGTAGAAGACTTTTCTTGGATGTAAACATGTCTTTCATTCTACTAGAAGAGATAATGAATGCGTATCACAAATGAAGAAACTAACAAAAAAAAAAAAAGAGTATGAAAGGCAAAAAAATCAAAGAAAATAATGGCAGCATAATGAAGGGTTAACAATCTTTGTGTATAAATAACGCCTATAAATCAATATTTAAAAGGGAAACATCCTAATGGAAAACCAGACACGGGATATGAACAGGTAATTCACAAAACGAAATGTAAATGAACAAAATGGGAATGTTAAACTACGCTAACAATAAAAATGAGAGAACATAACAGCTGGCATTTGTTTTATGATACCAAGGGTCAGAAAAGAATAGCACTCTTCCATACTCTTCTACCAGAAAAACTTTGTTAAGACTTTTCTTGAGGACAAGACGGTAATCTGTAGAAAAGCCTCAAGAATACTCATCATCTATTAATTACATGTAGAAATTTATCAAAATGAACCAATTTAAAAATATGATGAGCACCTCACCATTTATATTTTTCATGTGCTAAAACAGAGAAAATCTAAGTGTCTGACGAAGAAATATATAAGACAGGAGTATAGTGATCAATTATATACTTATTTAAAAACATGTTTACAGAGAATATTTTATATTAAATGCTCATGATATACTACTACAAGAGGTCTTTTAAAAGTTCATAAAAGGGACCAGCAGTTAGCTTAATGGCTATGTCGCTGAACTCCCACATAGTTGACTGCTGTTCGAGTCCCGGATTTGGTGGCTTAAACTCACGCCGGGCACGTGTGTGTGCGTGCCCAAGATCCTGAGAGGAGAATGAAGGAGAAAGGATTATGGTGTGGCCATCCCCCCTGGGGGGTGATTCCTCGCTTCCCGTCTTTCTGTCTGTCTCTATCTTTCTGGCAAGTGCACACACCCTATAGCAAAAACCTCTCCAGGAAAAAAAAAATCATAAAAAATGTGCATTACAATAAAACTACATGTGCATTTCAAAATTTTTTACACTAAAATGAAATGTACTTTGGGGCCAGCAGTTAGCGTAATGGCTATGTCGCTGGACTCCCATGTAGCCGACCGCAGTTCGAGTCCCGGACCTGGTGGCTCAAACTCACACGGGGCACGTGAGCGTGCGTGCCCAAGATCCCGAGAGGAGAACGGAGGAGAAAGAATTGCGGCATGGCCATTCCCCCTGGGGGGTGATTTCTCGCTTTCTGTCTCTCTGTCTCTCTCTGTCTATCTGGGACCCGCACCCCCTGTAGCAAAAACCTCTCCAAAAAAAAAAAAAAAAAGAAAAAGAAATGTACTTCAATTCCATTTTCCACAAACATTTTCAAGTTTCCTCACACAAAAGAATTAAAATGACTGCAGTTTCATATATACAAAATAAAAACACTAAACTGCTAAAAAGAGACTGCCCATAAGTCTTGGAATTAGATAGCTATTATTTGTCCCTTTTTAAATAGTTAATAGATTATAGAGCACTTTTTGAATTATAGAAAATTTTCCTCTTTTAATATTTCTTAAATTCTCTCATGTAAGCATGTATTACTTCTATTAAAAAGTGAATGTAAGTAATATCAAAGTAGAACACTGTCAAATTTCTGAATTTAAGACTACACATAAGAACATGTAATAAAAGGGTCAAAATTAGAGCTTACCTTATGATAGGAAAGTAAGTATTTAAAAATATTACATTAAAAGATGCTGAAAACTTACTGAAGGAATTCTCATTTGCCTGGTTATACAAACAAGAAATCTATATAGCAAATGGTGGTGGTAATAACAACGGTGTCAAGAATAATTTTAAACTTCTTTGGTCATTTACTTATTTATTTTAGTTTTTTTGCCATAGGGCATGTATGCCCACTGGAGAGAGACACAAAGAGAGAGAGACACAAAGAGAGAAAGACAGAGAGAGAGAGAAGAAAAGTGAGACGTCACCCTCCGGTTGGGGGAATGGCCATACCACAATCCTTTCTCCTTTATTCTCCTTTCAGGATTTTAGGCACACACACCCATGCTTGGTGTGATTTTCAGGCTGTTGGGTCTGAGACTCAAACCCTGGTCAACCATGTGAGAATTCAGCGCCTTAACCACCATGCTACCAGCTGGCATCACTTCTTTAATAATCTTGAAAAGACAATATACCTCTAAGTTTCATTCCTTCTTTGGAAACAGAAGAAAACACAAATAAATGGAAGTAACAAGAAAACTGCACGTCCTTTCGGTAAGGTTGGAAGCAAACCTAAGCCATACACCAATATATGCGCACAAATAAGTAAAAAAAAGAAAGAAAAGTCAAAGAATAAGAATATTCTTAAAATTATTTTAATCTATAAAATCTGAGACTACAACTAAAACTATTTTTGTACTGTGTCACATCAGAAAGAATAAAAGAAAATCTGTATTCATGTTTAACTCATTGTTTATCATTTAATTTAGGTTTATACAGAAGTTACAAAAATACTATAGAGAATTCTCTTATCCCTCCCACCCAGCTTGTTTCCCAAGGTTATTGTCCTACAGTGTCCTGATACATTTATTAATACTAAAATACAAACTTAATATTTTATTTAAAAATGTACAACTTCTTGTACAAATTGCTCTCCTGAGCTTTATTTCTTTAATCCTCAATGAAGACTTTTTTTTCCCTTTGTTTTATTACTTATTGTAAGCCTAGGACCTTACATTTCATCTTTCAAGATTCAGAGTGAAGCTTAGTCACAATGGCACAGTTCATATTGTGCTGAGCTGTAGTGCTGGAAGCCACATGGCCAACCACAGGTTGTGATCCCTGGCTTGGTCAACCTGAAATGTTTCTGGTGTGCACATGCATGCCTAGGATCCTGATGAGCTGATACACAATGCTAGAGGAAGGTGATTCAAGATATGACCAGGTACTGTCAAAGATGCTTCTCTCTCCTTTCTACCTGCATCTCTCTCTCTTTTTCACCCTCACTCTTACACACATACACATGCTCTCTTCAAGAATAAAATAAACAAACTTCAGGCTAGCCCTGTGGCCTGGTGGTTAAGGAAATTAGATCTCACACGGCTGACCATGAGGTTTGAATCTTGGCTTTAGCTACCTGAAAACACAACAGGTACATAAGCATTCATGCCCCAAATCCCTATAGGATGGACATGTGAAATGACCACATTCACTGTGGGGGTACTTTCCTGTTCTCTGTGTCTGATTCTCTGGTAAGTACACAGACCCTCTTGCAAATAAACAAACAAACAAAAATTCAGAGAAAAATTCCATTGTGTATGACTCAGACTTGGAATTTTACAAGATAAAATCTAAGGACCTCCAAATGTTAACATTTTTGAGATACTATAATTGTTAAGAGATCTGGAGTCAAGGGCTAGTTGACAACATATCCACTACTGCCAATGGATTTATATCATACACATACTTGGTAAGTGACTTCTGTTCTTTGATCTAATTAATAGGTTGAAACTTGCATTAAGTAATCTCTGATGCTTACTATCATTGAATCACAAATCCACTGAATTATCTGTTCATCCAGTAATTTTATTCTTCACATATAATATTCCCTGCCTCAGGGAAGTTTAGAACCATTGAATCATTCTATTTCCCTTTGTTTACCTGTCTATGTTTACATATTATGCTTCTTCTGTTGAAAGGTTTTGAGTTTCTGCACAATTCATTCCCCAAATAACTCTGAAATCCTTAGGGAAAAAAGGAATGCTCTAAATTTAACATCTATGGCTAACTAATTCACTGAAGCAGTTAATGACCATGTGTGCAAACTGGTGCCCATAGGAAATTCATAGACAATTTCCAATGAGTCACAAACTAAAATCAGAAGAAATAGCAAGATGGTTATTCATAGTATTATTCCTTTAGGAAAAAATAATAATACTTCAGAATGGAAATAGAACTGAATTTATCCTCTTGAAATTAGTTATTGGCCTTAACTATTATAAAGCTAGGGAACAAAATGGCATAAGATACCAATTTTCTGTTAAAATTCTTATTAAAAACAATTATTTAGACATGTGAACCTAAAGATAGCTATTCTCAGCTGTATCAATCACTGCCAGGATATTTTACCAAACAGTTTACTTCTCCTCCAAAGATAGGAATAATTTCCAGTTCTGTTTATCTCTCAAAACCAGGCTGTGGAATTAGACTTGTTAAATTGCAAAATAGAATTCACGATTCTTCAGAAAGGTTGCAAACTCACAGGCTTCCTGCCATACCACCGAGTTTCTTAAAATGGGAAAGCCATTAAAAAGATAAAAATCTTTTATAAGCAACAGAATGCCAAAAACAAAGCTCTTTAAACTTACCTCGTAGTAACTCCGAACTGCATTGCAAAATGCTTCATCGGCTACAATTTGAGTTTCTCCATTGAGGAAGGCCTGGAACCGTTCCTTCAGTAACTGCAGTTGTTGTTTGTTAAGCTATAAGGAAAAAGGAAATTAGCTGATATATTAACCAAGTTATAAAATAAAATTATTAACAGTTATATCTGCTCTATGTATGTTGGATTTGACATCTCAAATCAACTACATGGTAAAAAAAGTAAAAGCTAAGATATCCTACTATTTGTACTTTTGTCTCAGTTTTAAACATTCCTGAGTCACTTTTCTGTACACTCCAGAATCTTGATATTGTAATGGCACAGAAATTTCTACCCCTGACAGAATTCCCACGTTACAAACCCTGTCCCTCTGTAGAGACAGGGAAAAATTAAAATTTTGATAAGAAATTAACTATTGTACAAAACTGTCAGCTACTCTGAACAGAGAAAGTAGAGAGAGCAGGAATTCTTGAGCTACTCAACACCTTGGATAAGAGGTGATACGTAGGAGGACTGTAAAGGATAGAGGGAACCCTGAGAAAGACTCCTTTGGAGAGAATAAGTGGGATGCCGGAAGCTTGGATTTCATAAACAAACGTACAAAAAGGCCTGAGTTGAGATAAGTGAAGCAATGGTAAGGAGGTAAGTATAAGACAAATCCAAAAGAGAACACAGGCATCAGGTGGACAGTGAGTGCATCTTCAAACACACTGAGGAAAGAATGGCGAACCAGCCAGGGCAGTGCAAATTACAACAGGATTTCTCAACTTAGGTCTGGCTTTCATAACCATTATGGAGGGCAGGTCAGACATGGGCTGCAACTTACTAGCAATGTTCTCAAGTCAGCAACTACAAGCAGGGTCAGCTACTGAATTTGTAGAGTGCAGCACAAAATAAAACTGAGCAACTCTTATTTCAAAATTATTGAGGATTTTAAGACAGTAAGAACAGATCATTAAGCCAATACGGGTCCCTTCTGAGGCCTGAGTTCTATGCTTCTGCTTAGGCTCATGTCCATGTGGTGTATACTGAATTCAGGGCCATACATTTCACTGGAGAGAGGACATATTAGGTCACACAGAGCATTTTTGTAAATACTTAACTAGAGAGAGAACGACATAGCCTTCGGGGGAAGGGGATCCTAAAATACATAAAGGACAGCAATGAAGTGATCTGTGCATTTCACTCGATCCTGATCGGACTTTATTAAAGAACTCAGTCTAGTTCTGGAATCTACAGAGAGATGTGAAGCATTTGGAAACATGCTGAGGATAAAATGATTAAAGGATTAGAAAAACTAAACAAAACTGGGATGATTTGGCTTCAAAAAGAAGGCTAATGTAAAATAAGTTTAAATCTGTTGAAAAGGCTTATTAAAATGCCATTCAAATATAAGGGAGATAAGCTCTTTCAAAAAATGGGTTTTATTGAGGAGTCTAACAAACAAGACAGTTTATAAGGAAACTTGCTGGTAGTAACAGACAGATAAAGAAGTGCCCCATTGTACCCAGGTGTGAAATAATCTCTTTCCTTTTTTTTCCCTGAGCAGTAAACAGAGAAGACCATTCCATTTCTTTACTAAGGTTATCTTCTTCGTTTTAGGAAAAGCTAACCCAGACTGAAATGCAGGAACCTCACCATTATATTGTAATCTCCATTTCTATACTATGAAGAAAACGAAAGCGAGGACCTTTTGTATATGTGTGTACTAGCAGGGCAAATCAAGTCCGTGACTTGTGCTCTCTAAGCATGGCTCACAAAAAGGACCAGATGGAAATGGGACAGCAATCGCTGAGAATGAGGCAGCCGAGAGCATCTTGGCTGCCAAGTCCTGGGGAACGCCATGAAGGGTTTCACCTTGCAAACCAAGTGTGTGGCTAAAATAATTGAAATGGAAATATACATGAAAAATATCAATGAACTGGAAAGGACCTTAATGACTGTTTGCTCCAACTCCTTCATTTGATAAATAAAATAAATACCGTTTAAAACTAAAGACTTTGTTTTTCATTCCATTCTCTTCTTTCAAAAACCTTCTGTTCTTTTTTTTTTTAAATCCTCTAAAATCTCATCATTGTGATTTCTAATTATTGGTATTTAAGTTAAGGTAGTATACCAATTAGTTTCTTGGTAACCACAGTGTGGTAAATCATGGATATGAATCAAAGAAAAGGTGATTTGGACAAACCATTTTCTTGGAAACGCCAACAATGTTGGTATAATTCACAAAACATGCCAGAGGCATCTGGCTAAGTATCAGGCTTCAGCTTTTCTATGAATAAAAGATACTGCAGTTACATTTACAGTGATACAAAGTCAATAAATGGATAATTTATTAATATAGAGAAGAGGCATATATTTCTACCTAAAGGAAACAGGGAGAGAAAAAGGAAAATTTTAAACCCAGCAATGGGAAAAGCTGTCAGAAAGCAGATTCTCCAAAATCTATTTGCATTATCAGAAAAAAAACTATATTTTACACCAATTAGACCATTAGAACAAACCAAACAGTCTCCAAAACATTCAGAAATATAAAATACCTGTACAGTACCTCAAATCAGTAGTAAATGACAGTATATTCAATGAATAGTATTAGAATATCTGAGTAGCCATACTGAAAACAATGAAATTGTACCATAACTCATAACATTATGATCTAAATGAACTAAACTGCTGAATGTATAAAGTGGAAAAGTACTTAGAGAAAACAGCATTTTTGGCTCAGTACACTGACAGTTCCATGGGTTGGGAGGTTGGAAGCCACATATGAAGCCTAGACTTGTTTTTTTGGGTCAACCTGAACATGCCAGATAGAGTTGTACCTGCCTGTAATCCCAGCTAATTGGGAAGCTATGAAGAAGGATGTCAAAAATACATATCCTTGTTTCACTCTATTTTCCTCTTTTTTACTAATAAAAAAGGGGTGGGGTGGGATGGCAGCAGCAGGTGTGGAGGTTAAGGCACTTAATTCCCATATGGTCAACCCAGCCATGGTTCAAGTCTCAGACTGGCAGCTTGAAAATCATGCCAGGTGCATGTGTCATGTGTGCCCCAAATCCTGAGAGGATAATGGAGAAGAGACTACAGTGTAGCCATCCGCCCTGGGTGAGTGACTTCTCATTTTCCCTCTCTCTGTCTCATGCATCTTAGGACAAAAACCTAAAAAGAAGATGGGGAGGGGAGTGAACAGAAAAAGAAAAACATAGGAGAATTCTTTTAAGCACTGGTATAAGAAAGACTTTTCTAAAGATGACTCAAAATCTATAAGCTCACTAGAAAAGAAAGCTATAGATCAGTATTTCTCATTAATACAGATACAAAAATCCTCCCCAAATATTAGCAAACTGAATCCCACAATGTATAAGAAAGATTATATACCACAACCAGGTCAGACTTATCTTAGATATGCAAACCTGATTCAACATTCGAAAATCAATTAACCTAAATCATCAACAGCTAAAGACAAATAATTGTATCAGTGGATGCAGAAAAGGCATTTGACATAATCCAACACTCATTCATGATAAAAACTCCCAGAGAACTAGAAATAGAAGGGAACTTCCTCAACTTAAGAAAGAGCATCTACAAGGAATCTAAAACTAACATCATGCTTAATGGTAAGAAACGCAAAGATTTTTTACTAAGATCAAGAACAAGGCAAGGATGTCCCCTCTCACCACTCTTTTTCAACATCATACTGGAGGGACCAGCAGTTAGCGTAATGGCTACGTCACTGGACTCCCATGCAGTCAACTGCGGTTTGAGTAGTGGACCTGGTGGCTTAAACTCATGCCGGATGCATGTGCATGCGTGCCCAAGATCCTAAGAGGAGAATGGAGGAGAAGGGATTGTGGCATGGCCATCACCCGGGGGGGGTCGGGACGGCCCTCCCCCGGGGGGGGGGGGGAGTGATTTCTCGCTTTCTGTCTCTCTGTCTCTGTTCTTCTGGCAAGCACATGCTCTCCTGCAAAAACCTCGCCAAAATAATAACAAACAAACAAACAAACAAACAAACAAAAAACCATCATAGTGGAAGTACTAAGTAATGTGGTAAGGCAAGAAAAGGAAACAGAAAATATAAATAAAAGGATGGAAAGGATAAAGTTAAATTGTATTTGTTTGTAGATGTTATAAACATCTATGTAGAAAATCCAGAAAAAAAATTAATGGAACTTATAAGTGATAATAGCAAAGTTTCAGAGTACAAGGATAACATGCAAAAGTCAATCACTTTCCTATACATTAAAAATGAAAAGCTGAATCTTGAAATTAACTACACCAAGTACCATTTACACGTGCACTCTCCAAAATGAAATACTTAGGTATAAATCTAACAAATTATGTACAAAATCTATACAAAATACAAAGCTCCCATGAAAGAAAGAAAGAAAACTAAATAAATTGAAAGATGAGCAATATTCAACTTGATCTATAAATTTAATGCAACCACAACCAAATCTCAGCAAGTTATTTTGTGGATATCAATAAACTAGTTCTAAAGTTCATCCAGCCAGGCAAAAGACCAAGGATAACCAATACATTATTGAAGAACATAGTGAGAAGACTGACACTATCTTATTTCAGCACTTAATACAAAGCTTCAGTAATCAAGACAGAGTGATGTTGGCTAAAGACTATACAAAGAGATCAATGAACAGAATAGAGAGCTCAGAAATAGGTGCTTACAAATGTAACCTACTGATCTTTCACAAAGAAGCAAAGGCAAGCAATGGAGAGAAGATAGTCTTCTCAATAAACGGTGCTACAACAACTGGACATTCATGTGCAAGACAAAAGAAGTCTAACTTTAATCTAGACATGTACCTTATGCCTTTATAAAATTTAAGTCAAAATTAATCACAGACCTAAATACAAAGGAGTCTTCAAAAAGTTCATGAAAAATATGTATTATGAAAAAACCATGGTTTGAAAAATTTTTGCACCAAAACTCACTTTCACTTTTCCATGAACTTTCTGAAGCCCCCTTGTATCTGATAAAGGACCATTATCCTAAATGTAAGTATAATCCAGCAACTGCAGTCCTTAATAATTTACTCAGAGGAGTAGAAAGCTTATATCCACACAAATACCTAT